AGAGCATCGTTTTCAGCATCTCTGGAGCGTACGTGTGTGCGGAGGGGGGGAGAGGGCACCCTGCTCCCCTGCGCTGATTTATGCACAGGTTTAGAGGGGAGCGAGCCCAGCCAAGCCAGTTAGCACAGGCAGCAATTCGCGCCTCGCTCCTGGGCAAGGCGGCCGAGAGATTTCAGAGGGCACCGGAGTGGCAAGGCAGCGCAGCGACAGCCTGCGCTAGCTCTCGCTGCGGAGACCGAAGATAACCACCACTGCCGGCTTCTCACGCACAACGCCAACGTTGACACACTTAAACTTCATCTCCAGGCTGCGGGTCTGGTATGCATTAAAGCTGCCTTCCAGTCTCCCATCTTCTGGTATTCGGTGCTTTGTTCTTCCAAGGTAGCTGCTGCCTCTTCCCCCGGCCCCGGGCGTATGCTGTCCTGCAGGAGGCCCGGAGAAGGCAGAAGTGGAAGAGCAACCCCTCCAGACCCAGGGAGTCCAACCGCTGACTCTCTAGGCCAGAGATATTCATCAGGACCATTCTTGCACCGTTTCCCAAACAATCCGCAGGCCTGGCAACGTTGTGGGTGCCCGACCTGGCTGTCAGGCGGTCTCCAGCACCAAACCCACAAAAAGATAGTGTGAGGACGGTCTCCTTCGGAAATTTCCACTGGCAAAAACAGATTCACAATGGCAAGTTCCTGCAGACGTTGGGGTGCCCTGCCCCTGGCCTAGCCCCTGTAGAGCCGGGTTGGGAAGCACGTATGATGTCTGGATGTTGAAAAGTTGGTGGCAGGAAAGTCAGAGCTGAAAGCGGACTCCCTCCAGCAGCACACTGGCTAGCCAGATAGAATTAAGCCTTCTGGTTTTGGTGTAGAGATTGCAATGGCAGGACCAGCTCAGGAGTGAGGATCACCAAGCACCAGTGAGAAAAGGCTCAGGACTCGAAGCTGTTGGAGCACAGCAAGGGTACACCACGGACCTGCCTCTTCCCAGCTGGGCAGAGACCGGGGCTGCCCAATGCAAGTATTCACACACACCTTCAACCCACCTGCCAACAAGCAATCCCTATTTCACATCCCTTACTCCTGAGCCGGACCAAAGAGCGCTTGCAGCATGTTTGACTCTCTAACCCTGTCTGGAGGAGGACCCAGCCCAGCACCCTGGTTGCCATCTCTGAGCCAGGCACCCATCTCCCCCAGGCTGGGCCCTCCTGCTCTGGACAAGGCACTGCTGAGAACGAAGAAGCTCACTTGGCAAAGGAGACCTCCCGACCTTGCTGCGGCCAGCATCCAGGACAAACAGCTGGTTTTGTCAGTGCACGGAAAGCCTGCGCCATTCCTGATGGCTCCACGCAGAAGGATGAGCCAGGCATTTCCTTGGGCTAGCCGGCAGACAGGGAGATATGGATTTGTTAGAGCTTCAAACACTCAAGGGCTTTGGGTGATGAGGGGGATTTCCAGATAAACTTTAAGCTACTTACAGCCTCTACAAACTCCCCGAGATCCTCTGATGAAGATGAATAACACGAGCGATACTAAGAGAACCACACAAAGCTGGAGACATGCAGCATTAAACCACACGCGTTTCCTTTTTCTCCCTTCTTCCCTCTAGCCTTGGCTTTGCTGAGAAGACCTAACGGTCACGAACCTACAGGGACAGGGTCAAGTGCTACAAGCGAATTCCAAAGTTGCAAAAGAGGTTTTGTCATCTTCCACCAGCGTAGGCCAAGAAGCTGATCTCAGAAACCCTGGGCAGACAGGGAAATCCCAGAGCAGTTTTAGGTGAAGCTGGAGCAGTCACGTCACTTGTGAGGATGGCAGACACACCTGGGAAAATCCCCGTCGGGAAACAGGACACACTTACCCAGAGAGGTGCTGACCCCTTGGAGAAAGGGACACGCTCCACCACAAAGGTCAGAGCTCCCCCTCGACCCTGTTTGAAAGACTCATTTAGGCTTTACTATCCCTAAGAGCAGCAGCTCTCCTCTCCTGGCCCTGGAAAGGCTAGAGGCCACCATTACGTAACTGCTCCTCCCGTCCCTGCACCCTGGCAGCCCACAGCAATTCGGCAGTGGGCTCTCCTTGTCAACTGCCGCAACCCACAGCACCCTACGGTGATGCTGCAGCACGTGCTGGCCCTGGGGAGCACTTCTCAACCCTGTTCCATGCTGGCTTCCCAAAAGCAGCCCTCCTCTCTCCCTCCCCAGGCACGCCTGGCTCTTCTGCAAGCCTTTGACCGCAGAGAGGGGAAGGAATGACACCAGCCAGGGAGAAGAGAGCTCAGCCTGCCCCAGCTCGCCCCTCGGGGTCCCTGCCAATGGGGCCAGATGAGCTGTGAAGCAGCCGGAGAGGTGCACAAAATCAGCATCACAGATAAAGGGAGAGGCGAGGCGCCAAGCCTATCTGTGCACTCCCATTATCTTGGACACTCCTGCAACGACAGCACCTTATCACCGGCATTAAGCCATGGCTCCTCACTGTCCCACTGAGGTCCCCACAGAGCCCAGGTTCCACTTTGAGGCTCCAAGCTCTTCACCCAAACCCAAGTACTCCTGGATCTTCCAAGGACAAGCCCATGGACACAACCTTCCCCACATGCCGAGACTGGCACCATCCAGGTCTCCAGCCTGTGCAGAGGCAGGAGGAAAGAGGCAGGCAGGGCAATCATCCACCCTCCAGACCTGTTAGTCACAGAGTTTGGGGGGCTCCTCTCCTCGCAGCAGTACAGCAACTCGGGCAAATCCCCGAGACCCCCACGCATGCATCCTCCTGAGTGGGTTCGGTGTGTCAGCAGGTCCCCTCATCCCCACCTTCGAGTCATCCTTCTCCAAAGGAGCGGGGACAGTCACACGCAGCAATGTCAAAGCTCCTCTCCATTTACCAGAGCGCTGCTGCTTCAGCACTTTCCAGTGGCTAATGGAGTGGCTCAGCGCTGCGAGAGGAGCGGGTCGATGGGGAGGCAGGGGGGAGAATCGAGCAGCTCCTGCCTGCCCTGCTGTAGGTTAACCAGCTGCAGTGGGAGATTAGCAGGAATTTTAGCAATCTTGAGGTGGCTTACTTCCCCTTCCCCTCAGTCTCCAAATCCTCCGTTAACCTCTTACGCTAAGAGGAAGAACACAAAAGTTTAATGAGCTCCGACAAGTTTTCAGAACGTTTTTTAAGCATCCTCCGCTCCTTTAGCTATTAATTAGCAACGAGGAAGAACCACTACTGGGAGAGGCTTAGGCACGGACTCAACTGCTCTCGCTGCTGCCCGTGTACACTTCAGCGCAGCTCAAATGCTCTCAGAGGGCCCCAAAAGAGGCTCCAGAGAAACCCAGTTCTTGCAGTACTTCCCACAGCCTGTGCTGCAATTTTCCAAGGGCACCACGTTTAATTTAGCAGCCTCACACTAACTTGCATGAGCAACTGCATAAAGCTGACTCCATTTTGCAGCTGGTTTATTTTTATGAACAGGTTTTCACCTCTCAGCGTTGCAGTTTGAGAACTATAATTTAATGTAACTGATACCCTCTGACTGACCACCTCTACGTACCGGTTAGCCACAGGGTGTTTCTGTAACAAAATCCTCCTCGCTCCAGCACCAGCCGAAGGCCTCACGGCATTCAATCACACAGAGGCTTGAGGAATACCTGGAAGGATGCTGCACCTTTGTTTCCTTCTGTTTTTAAAATCCAGAGCCGCAGCACAGTGTGGGCAAGGTCACAGAGGCAGAAAGTTTGCAGAAGTGCTCGGTCTCAACTCCGGCGCCACATGCCAGCCCGCCCTCTCCATCCGCCAAGGAGGACTGCAAGCACCCATCTTATCCGGATCAATAGGAACCGGGCCTGGGGCGTTCTGTCACTAAGGATGCAACGCAAGACACACAGTTTCGATCTAACTGAGAGAAGCAGCCCCCGGAGACTGGGTAAAGGGGAAAAAAATCCCAAGATGGAAATAGGAGAATGGGCCCCACGAGCCTCGTTTGGCACTTTGTTCTCGTCCACTGGTTCAGTTTCAAGCCTTCCTGAAAATGAGGCATTGTCCCAAGGCGTATTATGAAATTCCCAGACCACGTCATGCAAGGAGAACACTTACAGCATTTGCAAGGGGGCCGGGTGGGAGAGAAATCCCAGACTATTCCAGGAAACGCAAGGAGACATCCCTGAAATGACTTCCCCTCTAGCCAGGAGGGGAAGGGAGGACCTCCCACCTCGCTCCCTGTACCCAGCCAAAAACTAGGTCAGTGACACAGCCCCGCTCGCATCCAGAGCTCCACTCCAGACCCCAGGACACACAGAAGGGTCCAGCCACGAGGGTGAGAATGGGGGGCAACCTTGCCCCCTCCCTTAGCCTGACAGGTTTCCTGCAGGAGAGCCCAGTCGGCTCCCCAGCCCCGTTACAGGGGCAGGCAGTTCCTTCTCTGCTTCCTCCCTGGCACCGCAACGGTGCCAGCTGGCTTGAATGAGAAAACCCGCTTCGGCCTCTCCCTGGCCCTTTATCAGACGAAACAAAGGACAAAAATTCCCACACCTCGCTTTCAAAGGCTTCCTCTGCCCCCTTCCCAGTTTCTGAGGCATAGGAACTGCTATATCTGACTGGCACCCCTCAAACACCTTTAGAAGACACACAAGGAGCTCAGCCTGGTCTTCAAAACCAAGGGCTTGAGCTACAGCGCCCTCAGACCGCTTTCCCCCAAGTCGAGGGGAGAGAGGGGGAATGACATATCCACTGCTTCGCATCCCAGAGCCAAAACACCTCTCTTCTAGAAAGTCCCCTCCCTCCCTTGACCTTGACACAGACACCGGCCCCGGTGCTCACTCACCCACCCACCCATCCATCCATCCTCACTGGAGAGGGGATGGGACGGGGGTCCTTCCTTCGGGCTTGGCACAACGGGGCTTGACCAACCCGGGAGGGCATCCCCCCCTTTACCGTGTCAACCGTCCCCACCGCCGCCCCCGGGTACCCACCGAGGGAAGGGAAGCCATGGAGGAAGAGGGGGGTGGGGAAGGCTCCGGGGAGCCCGGTACTCACCGCTGTGCGAGCTGAACCACCGCGGTGCGATGTGGAGGGGCAGCGCATCGGCCAGCGAGGCCCTGGCGCCCAGGTACAGCATCCCGTCTCTATGGTGACCGCCTCCCGTCTCCTGGTAACCGTTGCCATGGGCGTACGTGGAGTCGGAGCCCGGACCG